ATTTATATTTTTATTGTTTTTATTGTCTTGGTTTTTAATTGTAAGCTGCCCAGAGTCACCCCCTGGGGGAGATCGGCGGCATATAAATATAATACATACATACATACATACATACATACATACATAAATAAATAAATAAATAAAATCTCCTGTGTGTTCTTGATCTACTGTGTTCCTATGGGAAGACAAAAGAGGCCTAACCAAGGACCTACCATGTCCACCAATGGCATAAGATGTTCTGGGATGTTTTGAAATCTGAGCAGGGGAAAGTAAGCAATGGGGACAGTTTAGTACTTTGCACACATTTGGATCTGCAGTTTTAATTATCTAAGCTGCTGCAAGAATTCTCAACTAGGAAATTGACTTTCCCGTCCCTACTGATCTATCTGGGAGGGTGAATGGATCTCCCTTCTATAAATTATTATTAAATCTCCCCTCTATATATTATTCCTCCTAAAACCAATCAATCCCAAATTCTCACTCAGCACAAGCTCAAATCATCGTATTTTGGATACATTATGCAAAGAATTAGCTCTCTGGAGAAGTTGATATAGGTACTCCTTGCTTAAAGACCATTTGTTTAACAATGGTTTGAAGTTACGATGGCCTTGGAAAAAGTGCTTTATAACCTGTACTCACACTTGTGACCATGTGATTTGCACCACTTCCCACGGTCACGTGATCACGATTTGCAACCTTTTTTATGACAGTCATTAAGCAAATCACCATGGTCATTAAGCAGATCATGCGGTTGTTAAGCGCATCATGTGGTTGTTAACTGAATTCCAGCAAAAACCATCCATTGGGGAAGTTGGATTCACTTAACAACCACGTGATTTGCTTAATGACTATGTGATTTGCTTAATGACCATGGCAATTTGCTTAATGACCATTATAAAAATGGTTGTGAAATCAGGTCCAGTCACATGGTGACTCGCTTAATGAGTGCCCCACTGTGGTCATTAAGCAAGGACTACCTGTAATGTCGAGAAAGTTAGAAGAAGAAGAGGAATTTTAGAAGAAGAAGAGGAATTTATTTTTCTGTCTCAAATATAATCAATCAAATATATATAATGCAGAATGGTTCTGCTGGGGGTTCTCTCTTGCAGTCTGGGGGGCCAACTGATCACTGTAAGTGCATTCCAATAAAGTATCCTCTGTTGCTTCTATCTCCAAATGCTTTGGTTTTCTTCTTAGGTGAGGATTTTTCCCACAACACCTGCCTACTGTAAATTGTTTTTAAAATGTGGGTATTCCTTAAGGAAAAAAAAATACATATGATAAATTACAATAAACAGATACAGATCTATAGCACAAGGACAAATCAAATTCTGGAGAAGTGGTGACCTAAAGTGAGAGAAATGGAGAGTTTCATTTTGTGATTACTATGTGATGCCCCAGAGAAACTGTCCTAAAAGAATGACATCTATTGGTTGATTTTTGTGGTTAGCTGCTCCTTTGTATTCAGATCAGGCCTCAGCAAAATAATATAGCACTTGG